AAGTGTTACGATGGGGAGTACAGTAGAGGTTTGTCAGCAGCGATATTTCACACTTTTATGATATGGCTACGTCCACCCATTCTTATCGACTCGCGGGCAGCCCGATTATAAATGGTAATTTATTGAAACTTCGTGTCAGTTTGTTAGAAATTCTGCTAAAGTACTGTCGCGAACAGGTTTGTATATTATACCCGTACTACACACAAAAATATGCGTTGAACGAATGTAGGGAGCCCCTGACCTCGGGAGCTTCCTTCCAGAAAAACTGAATTCGTTGACTTCCGAGCTCTCCAGGCCTCATATCGCCAGAAGCCAAGCTTGAAGATTTTAAGGCAATACTAACAGCAACAGATGGGCACACAACGACGCCTCCAACCCCCATAGCGCGATCGATATACTAGGCTATTACACGAGAGGAGCAAGACCCCTGCCTGTTGCACAGTTTTTCCTGTACCCACCGTATGTTGATTGTATCAACGGCAGAACACGCAGGCACGTGACCTCGGTGTGTCTTGATTGCAATGCGACATTTAATGATTACGTTACTTCAGAAAAGTAAAACGATGATGGTTGCACCATGTAATCTGGTAGAAGTTCACCGACGTTTCAGAGGTCCTTCGATCTAAGGACTTTCCAGATACGAAGCAATCCAAGATGAATGACTCCTCGTATCATCATAATCACCATATTTCCCGGTATTAGGCCTTGCCGTCCTCTTACGATTACTACAGGATTTTTTTTAAGTGTTCTGTCTGACGACAGGCCCATATGAACAGGATCCTTCCATCCTTTTCTCGGACTGGGACCTGTTCATATACGTTCTTGGCAGATGATCCAGAAGTGGTTTGCCATTGCCTTGTTCTGTGTGTGAATGGAGTAATTGTTGGGATGCCACGGAGAAACCGGGGAAGCCCCCGGAGGAAAACTCCGTGTTGCCTATACCACGGCCTTGCCCAACACAAGTTATAAATTCGGGCACCGCCGGGAATCGAACCCGGGACCCCAGGATTACAAGGCCAGCGTTCTAACTACTACAGTAAAGTACATAATCTTTTAGAGGTCCTCTTACGTGTCTCTTTCTTCCAGTGACACTTTTTAATTTCTTGGGTCTCCGATTGTAAAGAAGTGAGTGACCCTGTTAATTTGTTTTCTCATTACGTCCTTCCATTTCCATCTGTAGTGTTGTGCATACTCTGTTCCTGGTGACATTTACAGTTCTGCCACTACTTCATTTGCCTTGTGACTTAATAGGGTCACCAGTCACCAGTCCTTCTGTTCCTGCTTCACCGTATTGTGATAACGCTAATGTAGCAAGTGCTTTATCATTTGTCTTTCTCCCGCTCTTTTAATTCGTCCTAGGATTTTGAGGTAATTTCCTAATGTGTCTGTTCACTTCAACAACCTCCAAGCGTTTTATAATTTTTGTTGTCTAATGTTTTCATGTACTAGTCCGGAAGGAAGTGAAGGTGAATTCGTATCCCATCACGCAATCTGTCCGCTTGCCCACCCTATTGTGTCATGGTATTGTCCGTCACATCCAGTCGAATGCGTCATGAATTGTAGCTTCTTTTGCGTCCTCTAACAGTTGGGTAAATGAAAGGTACAGGTAGGTACTTTCTTTGTTTTGGACTTTTCCATCGTCAAATATCTTTCTCGGCTTCGGGTCAAAACTGAGAGACAGCTAATACGATCCGGTAGATCGAGCTATATTTTTGATCTGTACACCCGGAGTACTGGATTCTCTGGCCGGTATATGTCAGAGGGACGTTACATAAACATTACTGTTAAAATTACAGAAGCATTGTGAGCTCGAATAAGGGCCTCGATTGTTTAAGGTTTCAACATTCACAAGATTTTTTTAACGGAACGTGCGATGGATAAAGTTCAAAACAAAGACATTCAGTGAAGAATGGAACAAGTAAGTTGTCACTCTGCCTAAGTACCATCCTTGTAAACGTACAGGAAGCTTGAAAGCAGAGATCCACAAACTAATTTAAGGTCTCGGCTATCTTATTTAAAACAAAACATCCATTTGTGTCGGTGCTATCCCATTATTTATTACCATATATTTATTCCAATTTGATTTCTCCTCGCCCACACGTTTTACTGTCGTTAGGCCCACGTGTAATATCAGGAGTACGCCTTCGTAACCACGTGTACTCGGGAGAGAGCAAGTGGACAATTCCTTTGGCAAAGCCTGATTGACGGAGCTCTCACCACGTGACGATCAATGGTACGGCACAAACTGTTACCCGCCATTCGAATGTGGTTTGTAGATCGAGGTGAATGGTCAGCTTCGCGTTCGGAAGCATTCCCGTATCTACCCTCTTTCAAGTGGCTGCGGTATCTGTTAAAACTTGGGGAAGCCCAGATGGAGGTTGCGAAAAAATGCCACCTCGGCCATAAATCGAAATCCGGGCACCCAGCTAAAAGCCAAGTCCTACAATTATCGCAGTTGTTAATTTATTTTCCCGTTTGAAAAGTCTAGAGATCAACTGGGTTGAGGTAATGAACTTCTGTGTCTGAGCACCACGTGGTGTTGGCTAAAAGGGGCTTGAAGTTGGTACTCCACGTCCAGACTTTGGCTTCGATTGGAGTTTCATATCCACGCCTGGTATATGTCCTTCATACGAACTGCTGTCTGAATATGTTTATTGGGCTATTGAACCGTGTAGTCGGGCAGAAATTGAGCGACGTTTCAGAAGTGCTTACAGCGATCATCGTCCAAATGATAGAGGCAGCAAGCTCCTCTGAAACGTCGGTAAGTATGTACCAGACCGCATGGAGTAATATCCCAGAAGACAAGTAATTTTCATACTCGCCGCCGTGAATAGTGAAATCAGATCGCTCTTTGTCTTCAAATTTAGGAACATAAAATCTGAGAATAGTGAATCTTAGTGTTACGCAATTTCTAGGCTACAGGTTAAGCAAATTTCGCGTGCAGATTTTCCATGTTAGCGTGTTGCATTGTTATTATACGTTCGCATATACACCGACTGCTGAATATTTATCTCGTAAAACAGAAGCAGTATTGCTGTTCTTTGTACGGAATGTGTATTTTTTTTTTACGGAAGTGCTATCAGATGTGTCACGCAAAAGAATCAAGTCTTCAGAATGAGGTCTCTTATCTTGGCGTATTATCATTACTTGTGAGCGGGAGCAGCTGCGTTGTTGACCCAGAAAAATATTTTACATGGGTGGAAACTCTTGCTACGAAGAAAAGACTACTCATTGAAGATTGACCCTTATCGCTGCAGAGATATTCCTGGAATTGGAAAAGGAGTTGAAGTAGCTACACACAAACTTTGTTCCACGAAACACTAAGCGATATGAAGGGATTTCCCCGATTTCGCTTAGGATACTAATTATTAACACATTCACGTAGTAGAACTTGGCCGAACATGTCGGTTGAGGGTTTAATACTCTTTCTTCTTAATTGGGAGATTTCGAGTTCTCGCCGCTGCAAGTAAGGTAATGATTAAGTAGAATTTGAGGTTCTTACGGCGGTGAGTACGAAGATGACTGTCTTCTGGGTTGTAGCGCCGTGTAGTGTGGAAGAGTGGCTCAATCATCGGCCTGATGATGGAGGCAACAAGGACCTCTGAAACGTTGGTGAACTTCTACTAGATTACACGGTGCTAATACCCAGAAGACAGCCCCACGGAAAGAAGAAATAGAGAATTTGTAAGAAAGAAATTAAGATAAGATTGACAAAAAGTAACGAGTCTCAGTTCCTTTG